CTAAGGCGGCAAAAATTGTAACACTAGTGTGAACACTTTTCAGGTTTTCAACGTCAAAAGTAATTTGTTGAGACCGGAAAGTGTGAAAGTGGCTTTTAGATTGTACTATCTCAGGTACAAAAAACTTCGATTTATAGAGGAGTATAATGCACTGTAATGCAAGTACAAAATGGCCAATGATTTGAGTTAGTTAACATTTCTTTCAATCATATTTTAGATCCTCCAATAATCACTGCGAAATTCAGAATTCCAACGTTGCTTCTGCATCAGAATCGCTTACACCACCAACAAAAAAATCTCTGCGGTCATCTCGAAAGAGGAAAAGGAGATTGTTGCCTTCTAATCACATGACTTGGAAAATGGAAAACAAAAGACGGTGAGTGATCCATCAAAAACATAATTCGAAAACTGCAGAACTCTTCAGTGCAATAAGTCGCAGTGACAACCACTCATTATTCACAATTTACTTTTTTCATGTGACAAACATAAGATGTACATACTTTTAAGAGTTTCGTTGGTCAGTCACAAAAGCTTTGTGTTTCTCTCTCTTGTATCTGCCTGTTAGTCTTTACAACAGAGATTGTGATAATAAACAAAAAAGCAAAGGGCCCACAACAATCGGGTGCGTGACGCAACGGCGCCGAAGTGACAGCGGGGGGGGAGGGCGAGATGTTTTCCTAAATTTCACTTTACGACGCTCCTATTCGTCCGATTTGCATGATTGTCACGACGTTGGATTCAGGAAGCATGTCACCATTGCGCTATAGACCCACATTTTTTAATTTTTTCTCGGAAGTTTGAAAACTAATTTCAAATTCAAATGTTTGGTAGATTTTTGGGAAAAGGGCTTCGCAGCGTAAATTCTATTTTAAAAAGGCGTCAAATGCCGTTTACAGATCGAAAATCGGACTATTGGTTCAGACGTTATCAGTAAAGTAAATTTTACTTATTTTGGTGCTGCCACGCGGTGGCTACAAATTGTACTAGTGTCGGCTGTCGGGACATTTAGCCTTAAATGGAAAGTTGGGTTATATCTTAAAATTTCGAAGAGCAAGAATGTAGGCCTACTTTGAAAATTAGATAGAATATGTGTGAAATGTTACTGTAGATAGGATAGAAAATTCTATAAATTCATTGAAGAAGAAAAAAAACAACATTGTTTCTTTTAGTACAGTACTTGAAGACTAATTAAATGAGGGAGGTTTACAAATTTTTGAAAAATCACTATTCACAGTCATTATTGAGTTGATTATCTTTCTGAAAATGTATTGGAAATGTTTTATACTATATACAAATGACTGTAAAAGTATATTACAGGGGAAAATGGCAAAGAAATTCTACTGACACTTTCAAATAAAAATGTAATGCACTATATCATGATTATAAATATAAAATGTATCTTATGTTGTTTTTTTAAAATGAAATTTGGGTCAGATTATGGCTGGTCAGTGCGTTTACTGATATTTGCAATATATGGAGAGGAACAATTTTTTCCCAATATCCTCTAATTAGAAGCTCACTTTCTTGTTTGCTTGCTCTTATTTATTTCTCTTTATATTCCTTGATTTTTGGAAAATATGGACTAAGACAATTTTTTTCTATGGTCTACAATTAGCCGTTAATTTAGGAAGGAATTTTGTTGTCTTCAACAGCACCCACAATTTTGGGAAATCCAAGAGCCTAAAATTACAGAAAAGAATACTTAATTAATCTAATATTAACCTTAAATTTTGGATATGTTTTGGTTTTTGGGTGCTGCTTGCTTTAGAAGGCTACAGATATCACATTTTCATTTCTGAGATATTGAAACAATCTTCTTCTACCCGTCTTAAACAGTATGCTTCCTCAGAATGTTGCTTTGGGACCAAAATTCTGCCGTCGCAGAAGTGCAGGGCAGGTTATGTCATTTTTTTTACTTTCACTCTTTGAATCTAAATAACTGTTGAAGCCTGTTTGATTTTCAGAATATAAGTAGTTGTCTTTCTTCTGTCGTGCAGCTTCATTGTATATTATTGTTATTGTCATCATTGTTATTATTTTGATGCATCAACAATCAACTTACACTAAACATTTTGTTGTACATTTTTTGTATCGCGCATATTAACATTATCCCTTCTCCACCCGACAAGCTTCAGCAATGCCACAGGAACAGAGCATAAAATAAACATATATGAAAATCCTTCCAGTTTTTTAGTGTATCACTGCTTCAAGGAGAAAATAGAATGGACATATTAACAAAATGGAAGAAGAGAATTCAATGAGGTCAATAAATAAAAATATAGAGAGCAGTTCGTGTACTAATATTGCAACTGTAGTTGGGAAAACATTTTTTTTTTTATAAACTCAAACAGAGATTTTTAACTTAAAGATTGCACTCCTCCCCACATATAATTGAAAATGTAATGTACTTCTATGATAAAATTTCCTTAAATATGGGATTTAAATAGTCTATAATCTGGCTTTTTTTTTAATGAAATATTATTTTAAATAACTACAAGAACCAATGGTGGATTTACACATGGGGTGCCCCTCAGCACCACACTCCATGCTGCCCTTTATTCTTTAATATTCAAGAAAGAATAAAGTTTCAGTAATTTCCAAAGCATTTATTCAATTAATAATAATACAACCTTCTTACAGTAATTTAATACACATAGTTATATAACATAAAAGATGTGTTTTGACATGTTGAAAGCTATAGTATTAAAAAAATTGATTTTATATAATTTTGTTAAAAAAAATCCATGATATCATTCTGTGCTGGTCAGCTGTCTGAGCGCAAGTGCCCTTGTTGAATAAACATGGATAATAGTAATTCCTGACAATAAATAATTTTCTAAATTAAAACAACTTTTGGATTAAAGAAAATTTGCCATCCAGAGGCCAGTGCTTACAGTGCCCAGGCCCAACTTCATAGGCCCAGGAAATTAAATTTCTGTAAGTAGTTAAAGTCTTCTTCAGATGAAAGTTGTTCACTAGCTTCAACAAGCCTTCTTCATACCACTGGAGTACACTATAATTTACATTACTATAGTTTAAGAACCCCATTCATAAACAATATTTGCTTTCTTAAATAACAACTCTTTAAGTTGGAACCTAGGTTGGGTGAAGTACCATTCCAACATAGGTGATGAGAGGGAGCTGTAACATGTAGTTGATGGGTGCATCATTATGGTTTCCTGTGCCTGCCCACTCTGCATCTTACTGTCAAGGAAGAAATTCCTTGATAGGTAGGCATAGATACGTGCAAATAAAAGTAAAAGATATCACTTACAATAACGGAACCTCATACTGAACAATTAGCATAGGATTTTCAAATGATTGAAAATGGAAGACGAAGTATGGGAATATGATGAGTAACATAGCTAGTTTCATTTTTGGACCCTACGTCATTAATGTTAGCAAGATAGATTAATAATTTTATTCCACATATTAAATGCCAATGTTGCATAATTTAACAGATGTGATCTTGTAATTAATTATTTACATTGGTATATTGAATATTAACCCTAGCATTATCAGGGGGCAGGGAAACTGAGACTGTATTTTTTTTTCCTTTCCTTCTTTCTTCCATCATCAATATTGTTTACGATGTGCTCTTTGATAAAAATTAATCACAAATATTTCTTATAATTTAAGTTATTACAACTTTTTTGTCTATTCACTTCAAAACTGAAATACTCTAAATATTTTGGAATATTTTAAGTCTTTGTATAATATTATCTATTAATATGTAATGAAGAAGCAATGAAATAAGGTTTTGACACTAAATACAAATATAAAAACAAGAAAATCAATATATTTTTCATGTCCTACTGAGCTGGAAACTGAATAATGTTTTCTGTTTAAATGACTGCACATGTCTATTATTAGATTTATCAATTTAATAATTTTTCAAAATTGCCACAAATATCAATAAAGTCAAAATTTATGCAGTAGGCTCTGGAGATCTCTACCCTCCTTGGTAATACAAGGAACATTTATTCATTGGGTTGATGATTTTGTTTTGATGTTTCATTTGTTGCCTAATGCAAATATAAAAATAATCACTACAAATTATTACAAGTTGTTGTACATAGTTAGTACAACAATAATTGAAAATAATTTTTCAATTATTATGTTCTCATTTCCATTCAGAATAATTTTCAGTAGCTACAGATTGTAGAATTTATTAATTTTTTTTTGTAAGTGCAAAATTCACTTCAACTTCATAATCCATATTATTTATATTCATATTTAATTCCGTTCTGATACATTTTTATTTTTAATTAAACATTTTAGGTTTTGGAAGTATGTACTATGTATTAATTAATTTTATTTCTTATTTGTCTTTTGCATTGCACGTTCCTGAATTAATAATTTAAGTCGGAACCTATAAACCGCAACGCAAATAATAACTCTGGATCGTCCGTAGCAAATAGTCACAATACATTGTTGTGACTTCAATAAATCATCTATAGACAAATTACGATCAAAAGAGATTCAGACGCGACGGTAGCGCCTCTACAGTTCACAAGTGCCACTTATTTTACGAAGTACATACCATTTCCAATAACTTTTTCTACAGTATATCTCAAGTTTTAAGGTAAATGGAAAGTAATTATTCATATTTTATCTTTACCTAAAATACCTCGCCCTATGTCGCTTAGGTCAGATTCTAGAAGAAAAAAAAAAATAAAGAGCAAAAATTATATTTACTTATATCACAAATTAAGAACAACGGAGGTCAAATGTTGTGTAGTTAATGAATAAAATAAAACATTAAAATATTTGGCTCGTTACTTCTCGTAACAAAACTATTTCAGACCACGAATAATTTTGAAATTTAACTCCAATGAATGGATTTTACAATTTATTATTCGGAAATGAAAGTAATGAAGAGTATTTGTAAGTTTTCTTTTTGTCTGTCTTCTTCAGCCAGATTGAAGCAGGTGAACGCGCCTATAGGTCGAGGATAGTTGACGAAACTCCAAAGAATAAGCAAATGCCTGTATCTGGCCTATATGACGAAGTGGATGAACTGTACTTTCCATGAAACATGTCCGCCGAAGAAATCTTTGGGGAGGGGAAGTAAGAAAGATAAATCATTTTGTTAGATAATGTAGGGGGGTCATAAGTTTATAACTCAGATATAAAACGGCTTGTCATAGGGGCTTTCAATTTTTTTTAGCATTTATTCTCGAAATGCGTTTTCACTAGAAGCCTGCAAACTTGAGTCTTAAAACTAAAATGGCTGCTGACGGAGATTGTCCCAGTCAATTTGCTGGACAACCATGGTCCGTTTGGACGGAACATTTAGGAAGAGATAGTCCCATAAGTAAGTATACATATTTTTAAACATGCACGTGAAATTCCAAATTTTTTTTATAAAAAATGTGTAAAATGACAGTTATAGGGTTACCTTATTCAGGGGTTAAGAAATCAATGATCATGAACATAATTTAATTTTTGTGTTTTTTTGCAATAGGTGATGAAGAGGAAATCGAAAGAAAACACCAAGCAGATGCAATGAGGCTACCAAGAGAAGGTAAAAATTGAATTAGAATAAGAATCTTACAAATCTCCATAGCATTTGACATTTACCACTTCATGTGTTTAGTTTCATGTTTGTTTTATAATTCATAAAATATTGTAAAGAGAGCTAGTACAGAGCCATAGGAAATAAATCAGTTGCTCATTTGCATTTTTAGCCTAAATTGACAGCCACTTGTAGTGTGGGAAGATTTTTTTTTCCTCCCCAACTGTCTGGTTCATCCAAGAATCAAATTTAGAATTTGATACTTTCAAAAGTATGTGTCATGATTGTAACTGAATGTTTACGTAACAATAGAAATATTTTATGTAACAGCTTTAATAATTATCACTATTTTGTTGTTGATGGCTCAATCTTATTTTAAATTGTTGTGCCACAAAAGTATTGAAATTGAGCTAACATCATTCAAGAATATTTTAATATTAATATGTCATTGCTTGAATAATCCTGATTTGAACTTTGTTTAGATATGGGGCTCTTTGGCCACTGTCCTGAACGAGATCCTTTCTACACAGTGGTGTGTGAATTCTGCAATACTTTAGTGAAACCTCAGGGCTTACGAAACCATATGGGTAAGGCTGAATATTGTGTTACATATTTAGAAAATTATTTGACTGAGAGTTTCTACTTCTTATTGTGCTTTTCTCTGTAAAAGGTGTAAAATTTATGTGCTGCTAATAGAGGGGTTATGTGACCAGCCTTTCTGTCACAGTTTTTTCCTGAGTATTGCTGACTATAATCTGTTTTATAATTTTGGAATATGTAATGCAAGATCGTTTTTTGTACGTAAGGAATCACTGGTAATTCTTCCTTGCCTCTAACTGCTTGAGTAATGGGTGCTTGAAAAAAGTAGCTGGATCCCCTGATTTGTCAAAATCAACATACATTTAATATTTCAACCTGAAAATTAATCTTTTTTTACAGCATCTGCCGTTATCCGGAATTCAGAGCGTAATTTTCTCTTATCCTGGTTGTCCATTTCAGTAAAACACTTATTCTTCATTGCTTTCTGCTTTACACTCAAAACTCCAATTTTTTTCAGTGTTCTTTTTTTCCTGGGATGGTGACCATCACACATCTTAAATTTTGGAGGAAGGGTTGAAATGGCATATACCGCTTGGATTGTCTCTTTTAAATTCTGTCAATTATATCTATTTCAGCTTCCATTTTTTATTATATATTCTCATAAAATTACCTAATTCCCAAATTTAAATTTCCCGTAGTTTGAAAAATGCATGAAAATTAGATGCAAAGTAACAACGTTCAAGGCAGGCCATGGACTCGAAATCTATAAAAACTGGCTACTTTTTTAAGCAAAATATATTGCTCATCTGCTGCAAGTCACAAAAGTCAATAAAGCTTTTCCAGGAGATGTTTAAAATTTGCATGAAAAATACAGCAGGGCAAGATCCAAAGTTGGATCACTATAAATTTGCAAAGTATGGTGTGCCATTGTGTCTATAGAAAGAGCTCAAAATATACCCTCTTTTATTACTAATATCTCATTTCTACCCAATTTTAAGTAGTGCCTCTCTTGCAGCAAATGTGTAATATATGCCAATGACATTTTGGTTAAAACCTTGTGTACCAGTATGTCCTTGTACTCAGGCTCATTTTCTCTTTTGTCATTAATCATTACACCATTAATTTTTTATTCTATTTTTGCACTGCTGTTTGTTCTGCTATTTTCAAGTTTTTTGTCTGTGGAATTGGAAGCTGTGAAATTATGCACCTGTTTAAAGTGCCACTGAATATATAATATTGCACATTCATGGCTGATTCCATTTTCAGTTTTCCCATTCTTAATTTTTAGTCGGCTACTGTTATATCTTTATTATGAACCTCCAATTATGATTGTAATTTTTGTCATGGCTAATTTCATCATTTAAATATCACATTTTGCTGGTGATCTGATTAGTTATTTCAACAAACTACTTTTCTTATTTCTGCTTTGCCCTTTTGAATTTGCAATCACAACTGGAATTATCAAGGTATTTCTATTTTTGTGAGCAATCTAAGAGGAGGAGGCAGAGTATGATGGTGGGTGACCTGTGTAGAAATTTACCCCTGATTTTGCATTTATTAACTGATTATTGAAGATCGTTGTGTGTTCATGATGACTTATGCTGATTGAATTGTATTATCTTTTATGACAATTATTCACTATTTACACAGGGTGATTCAAAATTGTCTTTGGAGAGTTGGGTGCGTCATGATGCAATAAGTCGTGTGCGATATCCTGTTCTTGCGAAATCGTAAATATGATCCTGCCAGCGAAGAAAAATAACAAGTTCTGTGGTGCCAAAGTTTTGATGCACGCGGCCAGAGACCGCCAGCGCAGCACTACATGAAGGAGAATACTTCCCCATGCCAAAGCAATGATTGTGGGGAAACAGAAGGTGACGCGCTTAGCGCTGTGACTGCGTGACACTGACTTTCATAATTTCGTCTTCATTTTTGCGCATTTGGCGTCTTAAAGTGTCACACGAACCTTATCCATACTTTATCATGCGCTAATGAAAATTCATCACGTTTATGTGAACAGTGCATTCTGTTCTTAAGCAGTGTTACATAAGCCTCTCACTCTTCTAATAGCCAGTATTAACTCTTTGATACATTAAAAATTACTATGATTTCTAAATTTCTCTTTGCAGTAATGGTATCATCATGGATAATAGAAACCCCATCTTGTGGGTCGAAAAGCAATTTTGAATCACCCTGTATATTACTTGTGTGTTACATCTTTCAATTCTGACAAATTCCTGAAAGTTGTGCAACGCATTTTGCTTCTGAGTTGTGAGCAGTTTATTTGTACATATCTTCTAGTGTCTATTCAAAATTTAAAATGTCTTGCTCGTTCAAATTTTAACTGTTTCCGTTCCTGCATTTTTTACTAAAATGTTGCATTACAATGGTCTTTTAGGAGAAATCCAAAGATTTTGTTTTTGCATGAGTAACATTTTAATATATTCCATAATCGATTTAAAATTTGCGACATGTTTGTTATTCATTTAGTTTTACCTTCTTTCTTTTTCTTCCTGCAGACCTTTGGCACAAAGTAACAACTGTAGAATCCACGCATGGGCTGGAACCGTCTGAGAAGACGATTAAATGTACAGTAGGGCCCAAAGCGGGACCTGGTGCCAAGGCAAATTCTGGGACAGTGAAGATAAAAGTAAAGAAGCCCCAGAGCAGCAGTTCCACAAGTGTCCCTATGGAGCGGTTGTTGGCGTCGAATCAGCCCCATGCTGGCAGCGTTCTCCCGGCTGACGGTGTTGTTGCATTGTCAAAGGGAGCGGACAAGATCTTGTTGCAGTCAGAGAAGGCCGTGGGAATGGGTCGCAGCCAGACTGTGTCAACGGGTCCAGTTTCTCTGCAGGTAGTGGTTGAGTTGGCCACCATCATGTCCATTCTTCCACGGCGTGCCTTCCAAGCAATCTCAGAGACTCTGAACACAGCTACTACTACTACTACCACTACCGCTGCTACAGCTACCAGTCACAACCATTCTTTGAACATTACGCCAGGAGACCAGTTAAACCATAGTCAGCGAATTTCAGGTTCTCCTCAGAAGAAGCGACTGAAATCTGATAAATTACCAATTAAGGAGCGTGAATACGATCCTGACAAACACTGTGGTGTATGGAACGAAGAATCGAATAAACATTGCACTCGGTCTTTGACGTGCAAAACACATTCGATATCAATGCGGCGAGCTGTAATGGGCAGGAGTAAATATTTCGACAAGCTTCTTGCTGATCACAGAGCTGCAAAAGAAGTGGCAGGGAAGCTGGGCAAGGCATTAGGGATAGTGCAGGTATTGGTCATTTTATGTGTGGTATTGTGTTTAGAAATTGTTAGCTTCATGTCAGGGCACTTTGATGTAAACATCGCCAAATCTGTCATCGAGATATTTGATGGCAGAAGTTTATCGTTGTTTTGTGTTGTTTTTTGTTTTTTCTTTCTTGATGATTCATGCACTAAATTTTTGTTTAACCTGTAATTTATTCGTTATTAGTAAACACTTCTTTTGTAGCACAAAAATGATTCAGTTGCAAATATTTTAGTTGTGTTATTCCCAGGCTGTACTCTGTTTGCTGTCTTTGCTGCATTTTTACACTTTCTTGGTAGGCAAGTGCACTTCCACTCCTACTAACACCTGTACACATGCTAACATTTCTGGCTTCTAACTGATGTCATTATAATTGAAAAAAATACTTATTGTAAACTTATGGTAAAAGACTAGAAATAAGTGTGAATAAGTAGTAAATATTTCAAGAATGTGATATTTAAACTGAAATCTCATTTGTTCTCTTAGGCGCACTAGGCATCACAAAATGGGCATAATATTTCACTTGTTGAGAACACGTGTGTGAAACTTTGAATCTGAAACTGGTTTCTTGTTCAATGTGCCTGTACTTGATGTCTTCTAACCCTCTGTGCTTTTATTTTATTTTGTTTCATTTCATTTTTTTCCTCACAATATGACAGTCATGTGTATTTTGATTAATTTCAATTTTTTTAACCCTTTGAGACATGACTCTAGAAATGTGGATTGTTCTGGGGATTGCCTCTGACCTCAGGAGAATTGGGCGTACATAACCACCAGACCTGTTCAGACAGCTAGGTTTAAATGCTAATCTACAGGATCTAGAAGTTTTTTGGGGGGTGATAACACATTTTGTATAAATGGCAATGAATCAAGAAAGGGAAGGAACTTGGAAGTCCTTGTGCCTTTTGGTGTTACACAATCATTTATGGAATTGCAATTTGACTGCTCCCTATTTATTGTGCTTTGCTTTAAAAGTATAATGAATTTTTTACAAGTATTGGTGAGGAATTTTGCGTAAGGTAATTAAAAGAACTCGGAAATATTTTTCAATGTTTTTTGTGCTAAAAAAATCTTTAAATAGCATAAAAATATGTACTAAGATTTGTTAGAATTGGTTATTTTAGAAACTAAAACTCAAAAGAATTGCTTTTCATTACAGAACAATAGTGTCAATAATTTTCAGAATTATTATTTAAGTTAGTAAAGAAAAGGTTTTCTAACCACAGGCCTTGATTGGTAAACTTTTATCACAAGTAGTTCTGGAACTTTTTTCTGTTGACCTTCCATTGATCTACTTCTGAAGATTCTTCACTAAAGGGTAGGAAAGTCATTTATTTCTTGAATTGGGCTTTGTAAAAAGAAATTGAAAGTTTGAGTAGTTTTTGTTATTTAAGAAAAACTTGTTTTCATTCATTTTCTTATCAGAAAGAAAGTTATTAGTGCAAAATACACAAAGAAATGAGTATTATTTACTTATATTTTTAGTTAACCTAAATCTATACATGAATGACTTCAGGTCATCTGAACGGTAGCTGTTCATTATTTTACCATCAAGAGCTACTTGCCTCTAAACTGAAAGCAACACTCTGATGGTAATTAAGTGAAATTGATATCTAATGAGAAAACCTTAACTAAATAATACATGGAGCTTTGATCAGGTAGTTGATTTGCTCTCTAAGCGCTCTAAATATGTGAGGGGCTGGTGGATAGGTGGTTTCCTTGGAGGATAATTTTTTTTAATGGTTAAGTTGCACCGGTGCATCCTCAGTTCCAAGCCCAACTCCATCCTGACCCAGCCTGGAATATTGTTAAGAATCCCCCAATATTTGGATTCCTGCATGATCACTTTTGACCACACATGTTCAATGGCAGCCATATTGTTATGACATCCTACACTTGTTCATGTAGTTTGATGTTCCTATTGCTTGGTACTTCTGTAAATGGGTTCATTGTTCATTTCGTTTTATATTTGTCTGCAAACTGATTTCATCTACTGAGTCACTTGAAATAAGTGAATATAATGTAGAATATCAGTTTATGGTAACAGAAAGCAATCAATACACCACTTTTTATTTCTTACGGCTGCTACTGTGTTCTGCAAGACTGCGATGAAATCTTGAAATGCCTTTTATAAAAATTGACGTGAGATTGATAAAGACTTTGATGAAGACAATTGTCACCCAGTGTTTATGATTAATCAGATGCTGAAGCTGAAATTGCAACAAACGAGATGGCTTGACTTGCAAAACGAAGAATGAAGTTCCAGGAATATCTTACTCTGCAGTTATATTAGTGTATTAAATAAATAAATAATTCATTTATGCTTGTCTGCATTCTTGTATTGAACATACTTGCTGATTTTTCGTTTGCTATTTCTCAAATTCAAATTTAAATAAAATAATTAGTTTTGTTATGTATACATAATGTACAAATATAACATTGTGTTATTTAATGGGGGAGAGCAGCTAGTTGGAGTCTGATTAGGTCTTAAAGGGTTGATGTGTTTTGAGAGCCATCAAGAAAGTAAGAATATGTACCAAATCTTGAGAAGTTGTCCATGGAACTGATTTTTGCTTATTGCAGTTGCGAGAGTCACTTTCTTCATTGTTGCTGAGAAGTATTGAGATCACCACCTTTCTGTTATATGCAAGGCCAATGATGGACAAAGAATATGGACCTGAAGCTTCATGAGAAGCTGCAACTGCAGCTGTGAAGCAGTTGGCTTTGCTATTTCTGAGGGGCTGGAAACGTGGCACTTTTCTTAAACATTAACAGAAACTTAAGAAATAATTAAAATATTCAGCATCTCTGACAATTTTTTTGTTTTGTAGTAAATTAAGAGCTGTTATGAAAGTAGATTAATCTGTATTATCAGAATAGCTGTTGATATTAAGCTAAACCATTAACATAATATTAATGTTTTACTAAAATATTTAATAGGCACTGTGTGAATTGCATTTGTTTTAACACGCCATCAAAATTCAGCAGATGGACAGTGAATGGACTTGAGTGGCATTACAATTCTTTTATTAACCCTAAATGATTTGTATGTTAATAACACCAGTGTTAATCTGTGCTGCTGCCAGTTTCACTGGTTGAATACAATGATAACATAACTCCTAGAAGCAAGATGTGCAGGAATGCTGTATGTGCAGGTTGCTGGTTTGGATGGCGACGGTGCTCAACTGCCCTCTCCAGTCAATGGTTCTACAACTGCGGTGCCTGCTGCTGACCTACCTACATCTTGTTTGGGGTCTCTCCCTACTCCTATGTCGCTTTCCCCTGACCCTCAAGTGAATGGCATACAAAATTCCAGTTCGGAGCCTCACTCTCCTCATTCACCATCATTCCCTGCATCAGATCCTCCACTTATAACATTACCTGATCTTACCATAGATTCATTTGAACCTGTGACATCCCTTGTATCACTTCCTTCAAAATCACCAGTATTAAATTCTGTGGCTCACTTTTCTCCTGGAGCTTGCCACCTTCCTCGACCTCCAGAAGAGTCACTCGAGTTTGTCCCAAAGTTGGAGGAAGTGACATGGTTACGCTCCCAGCCAAAGCCTCTGACCGTAAGTGAACAGCAGAATTCATATTTGAAAAGAAAGGATCTTATAGTGTGTTTATATTTTTTGATTTTCTATGAACTTAAGATGTTTTAATTAAATGTGTGTATGAAATTAATTGCCAAACATTTGTGGTGTATTATATTGAAGGAGAAATAGAAATGCCTGAAGTAGATATTGATATTGTAGTTTTGGGGTGATATAAGTTTTAATTGATTTGAAGTATTGGAGAAAAAAAATCCAAGATGAGTGAAGAATTAGAAGAATTCATCTGACCTGTACTTGTGTAGTTTTCATGGCTTTTTGAATGATGATGGTTAAAGGGATTTGCGAGTAGGGTGAATAGGAGGCAAAAGTAATTTGAAAAAAAAGTGGAATAACTGTATTTTCATTGTAGTATAGTACTCACACTGTAGATTGAAATTTCTATGAATGTATGGAAAGTACCCAAATATTGTAAATGCTCAAAAATATCAGACGTAAATGACTTTTATTCATTTTGATGCAGGTGGGAGGTAGTCACAAATCTGGAACGAATGCACTGGCTTGTGCAACTTCTTCTTGTGATTGTAATTGGAAATAATACATCATAACATTGTTTTTTTCTTTGGCTTAAAAAACATATCTTTCAGGTTTGCTCATTTTCTTCACGCAAACTTGGGGGTGTCGAGGCAAACAACAGAAGAGTGGAGTTGTTTTGCCATGGACTCAAGACTGCCCTGACTGAGGGATGCCTCAGGATCCCCCACTCTATCCTTCGCACGGCAAAGGAAAAGGTTCTTGCTGTGCGGCACAAGCCAGTGGTAGCAAAGCGGGTTGTGTGGCATAGCTGATGTTCAGTCTGGACTATTTGCATAATTTTTCTATGAGCAGGGCTGGCTCAAGAATATGTAGGGCCTGGTGTGGAATGCCTCTTTTGAGGCCTATCACAGTATACCAAAAATTTTCTGTATTTGAACTTTCATTTAACAAAATGTTTAGTCTTATTTTTCATAATAAAATTCACCTAGGCCCTCCAGGGCCTTGGCAAGCATGGGGCTCTGTACGAATGCATCATTCGCACTACCCACCAGTCAGCCCTGCCTGGGAGATTCTGTGAGAATGAAGTAGACCCTTGTTGCCTCATTTTGTATTGTTGAATTAAACATTAATTAATTAAGTAATTTAATTAATTAATGGACTTTTTAATTTATGTTTTAAATTTTTAGTACATTTTGTTCTGTGGAGTAGAAATTTTAATTTGCACATAATTCGGAAAATCTGCATTTTTATTATATTGTGCAGTGTACCTGTGTTGTTCATTATTATGATTATTAGTTCTATCATAATTAATTTTTATTTGTATGATATTCAGCAAAATCTCTTCCTTCACTTTACCCTAATTAATGACTGTTATGGGGTAACACAATGTGGCTGCATTTTATGTACCTTCTGCAATGAAGACTGTTCTGTCTTGCATTAGTGAAAAGTCATGAACTCGGTGCAGGGTGTAAACATTTTAAACATGATTACATTCCTTCACTCTGATTGTGCCATCTAAAAGTGATTAGATATCCAGCAATGTAGAAAGTGAGATTTTCCCTTAATGTGAAGACTGTCTTGCTTATGGATGTATAATGCAAACTAAAAATTTCATTTAAATGCATTGCCCAGACATTTGCCTATCCCTTTCTTATTAACTAAACGGTAGCTTCATGTATGCATATGTCATTTAAGTATCCTTGAGGGGCTTGTGGAAGTAAAAAAAAAAAAAATTATATTTAATTCAGTGTGCATCAGTATCAAACTACCTTTGCACACATGTAAAGCCTTCTCCTGTTTGAACTCCTCTTGCACATTTAGCTGCCTTGGTAGGGTTGCTGTTGCTCTATTGGCACATGGTCAGAGACTGGGTTTAAAAAAAGTTGAAGAGCAACTGTACAGTAAATTACTAGTTCCACAATGTTTGCTCACAGAAGCAGTCCCTTAATGTGAATGTAACTCCACTTCTGGTGGACATTCATGCTCATTACAGGTGGAGAGGTTAACATTTGCATGATTACTAGTCTGGTTTTGTCTCCTTTTTATATGAAGTAAAACATGCTCGATGTGCTATTGCTGAAGGTGTAGAGTATAAGAATGAAACAGGGATTACTTTGTGGGAGTCTGTGTTACTAATGGTGCAACAATCTGTATGTACTTAGACCAAAAATTGTTTATGGCTGCCGGCAAATTCAATGTTAGACTTTGTGCAATAGGGCAAAATATTTCATTATTGTCAATCAGTATTACTACTGTTGTGCATATCTCTGGATGTCACAAAATCCTGGGCGCTGCAGGTCAGCGTAAAGGATTCAATGTGCACAAGGCGATCTGTGGTTATGTGCCAGCAGCAAAATTCCAAAATTGTAATTAGTTTTTTATTTTAATATTGGTATGTGTTTCTGTTCCACCCTCTTTTTCTGGGTAAGGTTTATTGATAGGAAGAGAAAAGAACTTGGTTAGGGAATGAAAATATGCAGAGCTTTCTGCTCTTGTGTACCAATTTCATTAGCTTAGTTTTGACCTTTGCAGGATCATGACGCACACCTGTGTAATTTATTTTAATGTAGATAACTTTAGTGCTACTCATTCTCTGGGAAACTTCTTCTCTCTTCCTAGTTTTTGGATATAACTAAAATGTAGCTGTTGTGGAGTGTGAGTCAAACATTCATTAACCATGACTTTGAAATTAAGTGTAGACTCAGACTGAGTATAATTGCTAGTAATTACTTCGGAAATAATTATACATAACAAGAATGATGTGCTGTATTTGCCAGATTGTTGATCCATGAATTGTATTTATTTATTGTAAGTCATGTATGGTACTGAGAAGTTTCATGGACTGAATGACTGTCGTGTATGTTCTTGGAACATTGTGTGAAAAGGTTCCTCAGCATTTGAAATATTATTCGTCTTCATGGGATGTATTATCCCCAGCATCAGGAGAAATCCATTACTTTGTATTAAGTCAACAGAAAATACAGAAAATCATCTGTGCTTAACATTGTGTAATGATTTACATTTCTGTTGGTGAGAAGTGCAAATGTTAAGCCAAATCTAGAAATACTTTTTGCTCAATTTTTATTTTACTTTACTGTACCAAAGCTCTTATTGGTTTTGTGAAATTCATTCTGTTACTTCAAAATATGCCTGGTACAGAAATTTAGTAAATTTTTGTGATGTCAAATGCCATGTGCTATTGACTTTTGCAGTTCTCTCACTGTGGAATTTTGCTACAGGATATCCCAATTTTATATTATTCTAAAAACCCCAAGTACTTGTATTATCAGTAGTCCATGGTTGAACATGAAAGGAGGAATACAAGTAGAATCTCTGTATAGATGTTACTATAAAAGATGTTTCAGGAGTAGTTGTTATGGCATAAGAAATGGAGAATAATTAAGATCAGAACAGTAACCCTAATTATTATAAAAATCAGTGGGTTTATTTGTATTCTTCTTTCAGATATGAAAATTTAATGCATTTTATACAGAAAATGAGCAAATCAAAACAATATCATAAAAAGTTCTATTAATATATTTAAGTGGCTAGAAAGCAAAAAATGTTAATTTTGAGTGGTCTACATTGAGATTTACATTATTCTTCAGTTATTATGATCATTAACTTTTATAAATTCAAATTAATTCAAGAAATAGTAGTAAAGAGTCAAGTTCAATAGTTGGTAGTTTATCAATGTGGCAGTGTTTGGAAAGTTTCAAAAAATTGAGTAATTTTATTTTAACTAAATGGAATTGCGGGAAATGGAATGCTATTGCATTTTTTAAATTTAATTTTATTTATTTATTTTTTTTTAAAAAAAAAGATCAGTAAATGCTGATGCAGAGTATCCTAACCAAATATGAAGTGAATCATTTCAGTTGATTCAAAAAATGCATCATTGTATTCTCCACATTTAGATGAACAAATGTTTCCATTGGTAATTAGCTGAGACAATATCTCTTCTGTAATATCCCGAAGGTTATAGTACTAATAGTGAGAAAAGGCGCCAATGATACTTTTAAGTGTTATTGGAAAAAAAATCATTTTTCAGATACAAAGTAAATTTCAAATGTGTAAATTGATGGAATTGGAGTGCAAATTATGACAGCCATATTTTGCACCCAGTCCTGTGAACAAAACTGATATTAAGCTGTCAGAATTTTAGCACATCAGCTGACTGTCAGAACACTTGCTGTTCACAAATTATGCTGCTAATGACTTTCTGAGTAACAGCATTTTGAGTTATGGAAATGCCCCAAAAGTTCCAATGACTGGTTGTGACAAAATTTAAAAAAAAAATACAAGACACATCTGCGGGAATGTAATCTCCTACGGCCAAAATGGTTCAGGAAATATTTATTGCAAATAGTATGAGGATGTTGCTGGTGTGTTTTTTCCTCCTGAAATGACTCGTGCTATATTAATGTGAGAAAATGAAAAGCCAAAATTGTCAGGAAATTTTGCGCTAAATTCTTTAGCCTTGTTGCTGACTGACTGCTGAACATATTCAATTTTTGGCTGCTACAAATTAATGACCAACACGAGAGTTAAAATTTATGCAGTAGACAGTGACATTTTACACACTGTGACAGATTTCTGGAAAAGAGAGAACCTAGAACATACAGGGAAATTAATGTACAGAAATTGAACATGGAAAATGCTGGGAATCTGCTGGTCAAGTCAAAAAATTGAATTCAATGTAAGCCTGAACCTTTGGCTGAAAATAAAAAATAATCTATTGATGTGACACGGCTAATATTAGTAAATAAAGTGGTTCTTTAAGATGCCTTGCCATGTCTAGCTATCAGCAAAATTACACAAGGTCTGTTTGAAAACAGAACAGCAGCAATAATTACCACTTTTGAGAATATAAAATATTTAAAATAGTGGATTGTATGATCTGAATTCTTGTATGTTATTTACTGAAATTTCATGAGTGGAGTAGGGTGTGTAATTTGTAGTCATGTAAAATGCCTGTACAAACATTTTTAGCAAAACGGTTAGTGAAGACCTCTTTCGTTATGACATTCATATTTTATTCATAACCTCACTTTAGCACATCTGTATAAACTCAGATGCAATATACACAGTGCAAGAATGTAATCTCTTATGGATTATTCACAATGATTACATATCAATAGAATCAAAGATAAAACTGTTATACTATTATTATTCCAATTTTTTTAGTGATGAACCTTCTTGAGCATTACTGGAGTACCATAAATTGACAGAGAATAAGAAAAATATCCGTGGATAAGACATTAAAACTGCTACCAATCAAAGTACAATAATACATTTTGAGCAGTGATTCTGTTGTAAAATAAAATGTTTCAGTGAATTTTAACTTCACAACCAAACTATCATTGCACAACACAAGATTCTTTTTGCAGTTTAATTTTCCCAATCCTTTATGCTTGGCATTCTTTTCTATTTAAAAATATTTTCTCTATTATACAATTGTTGAAAAACGTTAATTCTCAACTTGCTTTGAAAAACCATTTTCAAAAAAATATTCCAGAGAAATGCGTAGGTGTTTTTTTGTTTAAACTGGTTAGTCTCAAATTATATTTTATAAACTAAAATCTAGTGTTTATCTTGTACATTTAATATTGAATTTTTTTGCTGATACCAGATTTGTAGTAGTAGTGTCAAATTGACAATTTGGTGATTAAATGGCAGTGCTGAGACAACTAAGAGTTGCTAGTGTTTAGGACTCTAGGTGCGATGAGTCTAGAGGTACTATATCATCATTGCGTCTGCAATAAAGGCTGTGTGTGTGTGAATTTAGTAAGGGAATATGAACCTAAAGGAAGAAAAGCATTTATTTGAAATTTTGGAAATGTGTAAATTCCTTTAGGTTTATTTTCCTTACTAAAGTCACTTCACACGTCTGTTTTTGCAGGCACAACCACGATACTGTCTCTTCGAAGAAATTTTTCCAAGTAACCTAACATACTTGGACTGCATGTTAAATGCTCATATTTTATTAACCAATAATTTTTAAATAATATTGTATAGTTCACTATTAATACAGTCAGAGTAGCATAACAGTATACTGGATTCCAAGAAATTTTCTATTTGCAATGCTGCAGCAAAAATAGTTTTTTTGACAGAAAAACTTGTATTGTGACTCCCTGAAAACATGGATCTTTCTTGCTCGTATAAGTATTAAATTATTTCCTCTAATATTTTAGAATCCACAGTTTTAGAACCCACCTTGATACCAAAATATTGGTTTTCTGTAAAACATCTGTCTGAACAGCACTAGCGCCTAAACTGTTCAAAGGATTTTCACTAAAATCGCTACTGCTAGATGGATTTGGCTTCTTTAATTTGAAATGGACATTTTGATTTTAGATGAAGATTTAGTTGATTATTCATTTGTGTAGGTATAGATCACATTTACTTCTTTAATAACATAACAAACACATTAAGGTTCAATCTTTTTATTGACAATCACCTTTTTATTACTTTATTCAATGACACATCGATTGTAGTTGTGTAGTTGAATAATTAAAAGGTGATTGTCAATAAAAAGATTGTACCTTATTGTGTTTGCTATGTTATTGAAGATTTAAAACATGAAGCCCATGACATTTTCAAAATTTTCTCAAAAATGGCTGTATTTTTTTTCTTTCCTTTCCCTCGTACATTTGGCATTCGCTGAGCAGCAAGCTACTGCTTGTCCGATCCCGAACATCTGATGTGTTTGGCGAATGTTTGCTCCCTTTGATGTCTCCTAAAGATCGAAACATGGTGGGTCGGGCAAATACCCAATGTTTGGGGATCGGCGAATCGTAAGCTACTCGTCCACACTACTCAGGATTCGCCGAATGCTGCATGTGTGGACCCACCTTAAAAACGGCTCTTTCTTAAATTTCAGACTTCTCTACGTTTTCAGAAATAGCAAAAATTTGTGACAATTTTTGGATACAAAACAAGATTATTAAGTTTCTAATGTGTTAGATTATAACACTGTTGGTAGCGTAAATGACCTTTTCTAAATACCTTCCTATTATTTGATAGATTCTAATGAATATTTTATGTCCGATAATCGGGATGTAATTGATTTTCTTATGGAATCTTATGGCATCACAAATCATGGAAGTATGAAATTAATTTTGAACTCTCTTATTTGTTTGAAAGTACTATTCGTATTTCACTTAATGTATAAATCTTTATTTACAGGATCATTTTTAATTTTATTCTGTAAGTAAAAAAATAAATGTTTAATTTTTTTTATAGAAGGACTTTGACAATATAAGTTTGTCTCCTACACTGATGTAAAATGTAATATTGATTCCTTGCTCTATATCTTTGCCATGAACTATCTTTCAATTCTTTATATAAGATATAAAAAATTACAGTCATTGTGCTAATTTTCTATCTTGATATAAGTCATTTTTTTAAATTTTATGTATGCCCCCTTATAACAGTGGTGCCCTCATTCAGCTTCTTGCATTTCATTCATTTGATTCCTTGGAAAAGATGACATTTTTGCTCTTCTGAGTTTCTCTCAACAAGTGGAGCTTATAGCATATTGCTTTTCAATTATTAAAAAAAACATTTCAGGCTATTTTGTTAATTCTTATGTTAAAATATGGTAGGTTTTTCTCCTTGTGTTTCATACATACATATTCTTAATTTTCTATTTTTTAATTTATAATGATAATAATAAATGTCATTATTTTTCACAGTGAAAATTGTTGATTTTTCAATTGGAAATTTTTCTTTCGTTTATCCAGGTAAGATTTGCATCAACTTTTATATGTTTTATTATTTTACAAAATCTGTCAGCTATTACATTAGAAGATGTGAATAATCAATTCATGAAATGTCATGTATTACACCAACATCATTTTTCAAATATAATGCATTAGAAAATAATTCCTGCTTAAAGAGTATTTAATTATCTCTATCTAAAAGAATACCTCTCATTTTGAATACTAGCCTAAGACAATCATTGTCGGTGTTATTCTACCAATATTATTTGAATTATATTA